GGAGGGGAGGGCACACACGGTGACATGTATATAAGTATTTTGTGCCGCTCTTAAGTAGCATTTTGCTGCTGTTTACTCGTGTGCACAGATGGGCTTCACCAGTGACTTGTTCACCGAGAGGCTCGGTGCTGTCCCTTGCCCCCATTACTGACACCTTGTTAATAAAACCTCCATCCCTGCAGTGTGACCCACAAGAGGCCCCAGAGATCTCCACAGAGCCTGTTCCACTTGGAGAGGTTTTCTTCCATGCTGACCTAGGGAGATAGTTCTGTCCCTCTTAATTACAGCATAATCACTGTGAAGGCATGAGCAGAAACCACTGTCTCTCTTCCCTCCCAGGGAGATGTTGTCCTTCAGAGTGACCATGTCATTGAGACACTAACGAAGACAGCCATCCAGGCAGACAAAGTCAACAACGTCAACATCAACCAGGGCAGGTGAGTGAAGCCAGGTCCCTCTCAGGAGCTGCCTTGGTTTGTGAGCTCTGGTTCAGCGTTGAAAAGCTACAGAAACGTACCCATACACCATCAAAATGTACCTGAAACAACTACATCTCCATTTCCCTGAACAAGCAGATCCATCTCATGAGCAGGCACTTACACAGGAAAAGGGTAGAACTGAGCTAGTGGAGAGGTCACAAACACTCATCAAATCTGTTCCTTCCCTCTTTCTCTTCACAGCATCAAGTTTACAGTTGGGCAAGGCAAAGAAGGCATCATTGACTTCATATCGGGATCAGAACTGCTTATAGCCAAAGCCAAGAACGGCCATCTAACAGTGGTGAGTAGGGGCTGAGGGTGGTGAGAAATGGTAGTTTAGCACTTCCAGTGGATCCAAACCCAGATTTTTGGCATTAAACCCTATTTGCAGCAGAAGGACACACACCACGTGGCCTCTGCTGAAGGCCCTGCTTTGCCAGCCTCCTCCCCAGCTGGAGCTTCTCTTCCTGCAGCCTCGAGAGACCCCCAGGGTTACTCAAACTCATCAATGATTGTCCCATCAATCACTTATTTTTTCCTCCATCCTCAAGATTCAGGCTTTAACGCTACACTCTGTTGCAAATCAAATTTTAGAAAGAGGATTTTAAAAACATAGGATGCAAAAAACCTGCTCATCAGCTATAGTCGTGCAATCGATTTATTCATTGTCAGATTAAAGGCTGTTCAGAAATAAATCCACAACTGCTCTCCCTGTCCTGTCCTGCCTCAGAGCAGCCCTCAGCTTCTCCACTTCACTCTTCACTCAAACAGCCCGTCCCTGTAGGAGCTGCAAAGGGAGCACTGCCCGGAGGAAGAGAGATCAGATGTGTGTAAGGATGCTGAAATGAGGATGGGGCTGCTTTATTTGCCATCAGTAACAGCAAACCAAGGAACTTCTGGACTACGAAGAAACACATCCTCTAATTTTTCCCCCCAGCCTTTGCAAACCATCCCTACAAACATATTTTTTTTAAGTATTATTATTATTTTGCCCCTCTCCATCCTAGGCCATACAAAGTTGTGTTTCGCTGCCAGCCTAGGGAGCAGTTAATAGAACCTCAGGAAGTGGGGTGTAAGAGCACCACGGACTCCCCACTCACAGACTTGCCAATATCTGCTTTTGTTTCCTGCTGAGACTGTGCGACTTCAGTACTTCGGAGCAGAGCAAACGTTACATACTGCAGGGTCACAATTCCACAAGCCAGGCTTTGGTTGGTGCCCTTTCAAGATGTTCAGGAGCTAAAACTGTTGCAGCATCTTTGTTGTCAACACACCTTCTCTATCTGTCTGTCTTCTCCTACAGGTTGCTCCTCGTTTGAATTCTCGATGATAAAAGTGCCACCACACCAGGACCTTTTCCTCCTCAGCCTGACCATACCCGATAGATCCTGCTGGACATTTTTCCCAGCAAAATCCCCCCTTCTCCCTCGCTTTGCTCGTTCTGTTTATTGTTACCAAAGACCTGCACTTTCAGAAAAAAAAAAAAAACCCACACAAAATACATCTTGCTTTTTTGTCTTAATATGAAAGTTCCAAAAGAAAGGCCTTCTCTTCCTTACCTTAGTGGCAAACGCACGGGTCCAACGCCATGTCCAGGAAACCGTGGCTCATGAAACATTCAGCTGGGCTTTGAGGGAGAGGTAGCTCTGGCTCTGAAACTCAAGAGTTTAAGCTCTGATGGAAACGACCAAAAATTTGTGCTTGTCATAAAAAAAAAAAAAAAAAAGCACAACAGGAAAAGAAAGAACTCTGCTGCTTTGTCAGCCAAATCAATGAAATGCCAAACTTTGTATTCAGAAAGAATGTTTTATGAAGAATTTTGCTCCGAGACGTTTTGATGCTTTGCATTACGAGATATTAAAGCCATATTGTGTAAATGAGTCAAACCCTGTAAATACTTTATAGCTGAGTATGAGAGATGCACTACAAGAGATGGAGTTGATGTGGAAACTTTTTATGTTTTAGATTTGGAGTTTTGTTGTTGTTTTTAGTTTATAAGGTATTAACCTGAGAAACCCATCATGTAACTTCACTCATCTGGATCGAGAGACTCTGTAACTTTCTTTGAAGTCACCTGTCCCATTTCTTGCTCTATAGTAATATTTTTATACTGTAGTAACTTTTTCATATCCACACATCCAAACAGAAATGTTAAGTGACACACACTGCAGAGGTCACCACTTCACGCTGCTCTAGGCTGGAAACAAAACCTTTAGTCCTCAACCACAGGACGTGCACATGAGCTTTCCCTCCCACCTTCTACCTGAGACCCACCACTGCCCCTCTCCCCCCTCCACAGCTCATCGGGCTCAGAGCAGCACCTGCAGAAAAAGTTGCTTTTCCTCTTGTTTTTAGCGATAACTGGAAGTTTGAGTTCCCACAATAAAGCTCCACAAGGTTCCTAGAAATGCCTCTCAGTACTGCCTTAACGAGGAAGAGATGGCTGGTTCAGCGCTGCCGGCCTTACCGACCCACCGCACCTCCGCATGGAAGCATCTTCCCCAGCCAGCTGTCACCCCAGTTCTGACCCAGCACTGGGAGGGACACAGCACGTTTGAACACTAACTGGTCTCAGACTGCATCGCGAAATAATACTAAGCACTTTTATTTAACAAAGAACCCAAATGGCTACAGGGTGGACAGCTACGTGTCAAATACCTGCTGACTGCACACCACGGCTCCAGCTGCCAGTCCCAAGTTCTACACCTCAAACGGTGCATTTTGCACCCGACTTGCCTTAGAAATCCTTCGCCTCCCACCTCTGTCCTGATGCAGTAGCAACACCAGTCACAGCGAGCCCTGAGGAAAACGTAACCCAACGTGTTGCCACTCGCCTACGATCGGCTCCGTCTCCTACTTCTCGGTTTTACCACCCCCTGCCCAGGCCTGGAATGCTGTCTGCGCTGTGGTACACACCCCCCTACTGCTGTGTGCTGGGGTGTGTGCACCACACAATGCTGTATGCGCTATCATATAACCTCCTCAAGACTACGCTAAATAAATTTTTACAAAAAAGAAACAAACAACCCCACACTTTGTCTTTGTTGTATAAACTGGTTTAACACATTCCTTCTTTTTTTTTTTTGAGAGGGAGGGTACCTGACTGTCTGGTTCTTGGGCCCATCTATTACAAGAAGTAGATTATCCCCAGAGATTTCTAGGACATCACATTAAGGTGACACATTTCCCTTCTCTCTATCCACGTAAGTGACTGGGCTGGCTGAGGAGCTCTGAAAGGGCAAGTGAGAGGAACACACCAACCAGACCACGGCTTTTTGTGCATTCAGGTGGGGAAAGAGGGATAAATGGTGGGGAAGAGCTTCCAACTCCTCCTGCTGCTCCCGGGCTGTCTCCAGGAGGCCGGGCTCACAGCGGGACTACTTACGGCTAAGACTGGGATCTTACTTTAGCTCATGTCTGAAGAACAATGCTGTTCCTTCTCTTTTCTCTCTCCCCCTCCAAATGTTCCTATTACAAGCAACAAAGCCAAGTTACTCTTGCCGAGATAACTAAAATAGAAAAGTCATAGTAATATTTGGCATTTTTAATTTAGGTTTGTTTTATTTAAGTTTAATGTTAATTCCATGCTGTGTTTCAGTAAGAACAATACAGATTCTGTATCTGTGGCTCCAGTCAGATATCCAGTAGTACAAATTAGCTTCAAGTTACACATACTGAACAAAAGAGGTTGAGCGAGCGAAGGGAGATGGGGAAAGGGGAGGGAGAAAGAAAAAATATTGAACACGCATGCAGGCTTATCAATGCCACCTTCAATGCTAACCTGCTTTGAGGAAAAGTAAAGAATAGGCAAGAATGAGCAGCCACGGATTGTTGAACTGTTACCAGCACCATGATTTTCAGCAACATTTCAGCAGTTTGGAAACTTTTTTTTTTGTTTTTATACAGTAAAACCACTACAATATATGTCCCAATGCAACCTGCAACTTCAAGCTAAACACCCAATTAAGTTTTAAACATTGGTATAAAATTCGGTTTAAACAGTTATAAAAAAAAAAAAGAAAAATGCCACCACATGCGCACTACCTCACCATAACACATCTCTCTCTCCCCGAGGAGTCTAACGGCCTTCAGGTGTAACATCCACCTCTGATGGCAACCGCCACATCTGGCAGGAGACAATACAGTAATGCTGAAAGAGCCTTTACCCAGTCCTGTTAGTGTCTTAAAGAACCTAAAAGCTGGCACCAGTAAAATCCACAGAAATTCACTCTTGCCTTTTAAGAACTTTTAAACTGTGTAAAAAAAAAAAAAAAAAAAAAAAAAAAAAACAAAAA